AGTAGTAATTACTATTTATTATTTGAAGTAATTGAAAAGCAGACAGAATAATTGAAAAACAAAATATCAGTCACTAATTAAAATTAGTAAACATTTTAATCAATTCAAATTTAGAGAGTACTTTAATTCTTTTTTATACATCTTAACAATTTCCTATTTTCAAAAGTAAAGCAATTTAAATAAATAAGAATAAATTTTTATTGTATAAGCGAAAATAGATTAATAAATTTGTACCATTGTCGAAATTAGCTACTCCAATTGCATCCAAACAGACAAGTAAAGCAACTGTCATCAAAAATGCTGAATAAACTTTCATGGTTGTGGCAAATTTCGTATGAGTTCAACAATTTTTAAGAATGTCGCAAAAAAAAAATTTCCACTATTTTTATACTGATGATTCTGTGTTGGTGGGATATAAATGTAAGATAATTTCCATTCCTTTAAATTGTGCCATTTAATTTATTCCTTCTGTATAATTTTGCCATATAATAACATATAATTGTAAGCAGACAATAATTATGTTAGTTTTTAAACAATTAGAAATAATTTTAAACCACGAAAATAATGCTTAAAGTGTTAGAATTTTTTTTTTTTTTTTTTTATACTCCTGCCCTATTGGCCTTACGCACTTCGACAAGAGTCCCCGAGAAATACTTTTTTGGATTAAGCATAACCATTCTACATAAATTTTCTATATATTAACCTAATTTGCGTCTACAGCCGACTTTTATTAGGAGTACTCGCATTTGCCTGGACCACCTGTCTAATGGGTTTTCTCGCCAGTGGAGAGGGAAACTGTAGAAAACCTCTCCTGAGTACAACCGGTTTATCGACAGTCGAGTTCTAATGGTGTGTACCGGACAATAATCGACGGTGCACATCATTATACCTCGACGTCAAACCTCCCGCTCAGATTGTCTCACGTGCCGGAAAAATACCAAGCCAAGTGGGCGCGAACCAAGGGTACTTATACCCTCGGTCCTTAAACCACCGCCAAGCGAGGCATCTATCCGACTGAGCTAATCTGTCGGTTTTAAAGTGTTAGAATTTATAGTCATTGCTGTTTTTACCTCAATAAATACCATCTTATCACTTTTTTTAACCTTCACTTTTAAAAAAAAAAATTCTCCTTCTCTTTACTTTACTTCTCTTTACTTTTATTATTATAATTCTTATTGCTATTTATTATTTTTAATTTACATTTTTTTATTATTTTTTTATTTGTGTAAAAGTATTAAAATAATAATAATAAATTTATATTATACTTTACACTTTTTTGTATTTAAAAAAACTGTTTGCTATATTTATCAAACTTGATTGCTTATTGCTGACAAATTCATTTGATATAATTAAATTTTAAATTCATTGCAATTTTTATTGGTTCTTTTCTTGCATTATAAATTACAAAAATGCTATTTTTAGTTAAGAAAAGAAATTTTCATTTAATTTCCAGAACGCTCAATATTACCTACATCCTTTAACTATAAGGATTTAATGAATTTTCACTTTGTGCCATATCTAAAATAGAAAACGAACATTCTTAAATTACATTTAAACTTTTATATTCATTTAATTATTTTGAATAAATATTTATTATTAATAAATAAATTTTTATCATTAATAAATAATTTTTTTATTAATATTATTGTATATTAATTAATTATTAACATCAATATTAATAAATATACTCTTTAAATTCGAATTAGTGACTTTTTTAAAATATAAATACATTCATTCATTGACAGTTCACTTTACATATTTTTTTATTTCTTTATACACTTAAACGCAATTTTTTATTACATACACATTTGAAAAATCCTAACGCTTGGGGGTACGAACCTACGCCTAACCGAATATTTACGCACCGAAATCTCGCACGCTAACCACTATGCTACGCTCGCATGGGACTCTCAAATCTTAAATACTCTCAAGTGTCACTAGCTGAAATAAAAATTGTAAAATTACTACGCGGCAATAAACAATTTTCAAATACGGACTGATGTTATACCAGTATTTATGAATATTTTAATATTTCGTTTAAAAAGGAACTTGTTAAAATTGTTATTTTATTATTATATTTTTTAATATTTTATTACGTAATTATTAATAATTGAATGAAATTTGAATGCACAACACATTTTTTTAATTATTTAATTTGCAGAAAAGTGTCAATAAATAATTACTTAATATATTGTTTAAATTAAAAAGAGATTATTAATTAATTAATAATAAATTAATTAATAATAATCTCTTTTTTATATATTGTATTTAATATGTTAGGTATTTATTGTAGGCATTATAATATATTGATCACATTTTCTTTCAAGTTAAATATATTTTACTTCTTTCAAATTAATATATTACACCGAAAAAAATGCCTAGGACCCGTATACCAGGAATTGACTAGGTTTCCTAGTTACGAGAGGAGCCAACTATAGAATCCTGGTCAAAGTAATAAGATTCAAGCATAGTTAAAGTGACCAGGAAAATTAGTCGATGTAATCAGGAAAAAATAGTTAAATTGATTAGGAGAATAATATTAGATTTACACTGTGTATCATAATTATTTGAAATTGCTAATCAAATTCTTATTATCAAATAAAAGAGAAAAACTAATTAAAAGAAAAAAGAAAAAAATTAATTATTGTATTTGAACATATTTATATTTGACTTTGTATTTATATACCTTAGAATTAATTTAAACTTATGAAATAAATATTTGACGCAGGGGGGACGCGAACACCTGAACCTAACGAATACGCACTTTGAAACCCGGAACGATAACCACTACACTAAACACGACTTGGTATTTTAATTTTTTAATAGACACTAGATTTTCGAGTCAAAATACAATACTTAATCAGATGATGTTTTATACATTTCGAGTACACAATTTTATACACTTGTCAAAAACTATTTATTTTTAATTATTTATGACATTCAAATGAAAATAAATTTAAATACACAAATTATTGCAAAGGTAAATTTTCAAACACACTGCGCGATTAAAATAGTAAAAATGTTGTCACCACGTGCGTAAAAATTTCGACGATTTATATTGAAACCTAACCAAAAAAGTCTGAAAGAATTGACTAATATAATTAAATGCTTTACTTTCTAAAACATGGACTATCTATATTTCCAGAGGTTCCGAGAAACCAGCAATTTTGATGTATGTAAGAGTTCCATTTTATGTACAAAAAATAGAGGAGAGTAATGATAAAAAATCGTTTTACGAAATCACGATAAATAACGCGAAAGATATAGAGGTAAACACTGTCAGTACAGACGCAGACGCGTGCGCATTATGGAAATAGGCAAAATTACTAAAATCCTAGTCAATTTGACAAGGATTTGCAGGGTTGTTTTTGCCAGGCTTGAATTTGTTGAATCAACCTAGCGATCTCAACCATAATGATTAGGAATCCTTATTACTTTTACTAGATTAAGATTAACTATAGAGTCATAGTTTTAATAATACCATCGAGATTTTTTTCGGTGTATTTATTAAAAATTATTTATTTAATTGCACATTAATAAAGTTGGATTTTTATATATATAATGAAAAAATTAAGTTTCTTATATTCTTCCTTTGCATGAATACTATTAATTTATTTATTGGTTAACTAATAATAATATTATAATAAATGCAATTAGTTATTGTAATAATTAATTATAATAATAAAATAAATTTATGATTATGCTGATAATGTAAACTATAACAATAAATGACGAGATCCGCAGTCGGATCCGCCCCAGCACCGAGCCAGTACAGACCTAACATCCGTCATTCTTCCGACGCGCGTAGAAGAATAAAATCTGCAGGCGGAACAAATCCAGCACCGCGCCAGTACTGACGAAAGTAGAAAGGCGGATCCAAAAGTCGGAGCCTAATCTGTTCCGCGCCGGTTGCATTTTAGGATCCGAATCGGTACAGACCATCGGTGCTGGCGGTCCGTACGGGCGCGGATCCCAGGCGGTTGTATAATCCGACATTCGTCCGACTTTTTCTCCTGGGCAATTAAAATTTCAATAAAAGAAAAAATTATTTAGAAAAAAAAAATTTCAGATATTTTTGAAAATTCTTCTGTTTGATTTTAGATATTCGTGACCATATTACACCCAAAATACCGGTTCTATCTACAAATTCCTGCACCAACATTTACCGACACCTTTTAGCGAAGAAGAGATTTGTGGTTTGAGTCTGGGATAAAAAACGCCGGTAAATGTCGGTGCAGAAATTGGTAGATAGAACCAACACAGTTTAACTAATTTCGGATTATTAATTTCGGATTACTAATTAATCTCTTAAATTTTATCTTTTTTTACCACCTTAATCTTCGAAATCACAATTTTTGACCTCTTCTGCACATTTTACAGTATTATCCAATCACTTATACTTTGCTCGGGAACGCAGACAGACAGATTATGTAACTTGTTTATTGTCACATTAATTAATTAATATTTAATAATAATGAAGTACACTTCATTATTATTAAATATTAATTAATAAATGTTTAGTTTTTTTTTAATTTTTGACCACCTTAATCTTCGAAATCCAAATTTTAGACCTTTTCTGCATAATCTACGACCAAAAATTCGTCTAGGATGTCAATATAAAAACTATCTGAACGCTTACATTTTTCTCGAGAGCGCGGACAGACTAATTATGTCACTTGTACTTTATTATTATTAATTTTATGTTCTTTATATTATTTATTTATTTATTCCTTTATTTTGATTCTCTTTCTTTTATTTATTTTAAGTTATTTTATTTATTTATCTAATTATTTTTACGTAGACTACTTAAAAATAAAAATAAATAAAATGAAGACAATTAAGTTAAATAAATAAAATAAGGAAAATAAAAATTGCTTTAGTAAACAAAGTGTAAAACTTTTAAAACAAGTAAAATAATTGCAGAAAAATAAAAAATACAAATAAAACTAAAAGAACACTAAAGAAAATGAAAATATTAATTTTATCGTTTAATTTGACAGTATGGAGGAGAGCCGGGAAGAAGATTATCGCCTCAAGAGAAACCACTCGATCTTCAAGATGCCTTCTTACAAAGGCTTGGCTATGAAGAATCATCGAGAAGAGCTCGTCTCGGTGTAGATCCCGAACTTCGTCATCTAATCTCCTTTCATGTCGGTAAGTTTCCTCTTTCAAAAACTTTCCAAACAAAAAAAACAGAAAAATAAGAAATTGATTTATTATACACCTGTATATGTTTTCGAAACAGAATTTCCTCTTATGCAAATTGCAAACACGTTAATTTTCTATGCACCAAGTACAGAGAAAAAAAACTCCACTCTTAAAGGGAATAACGTTATATTCCTAACGGAGTCACAATAAAACTTTATGTAAGTCAAGGGATGCTGAGAGTAGTAAACGTAAAAACGTTCAAGAAAAACACATTCATCTTAAGAAAAAGAGAGAGAAAGAGAAAAAAAAGAAGAAATAGTAAATTCTTAAATGAAGATAAAAAGAAACAATCTCACCTCTCGCAAGTATATAAATAATATTAATTTTAAAACGTTACACGTTTCTTTAAATTGAAAAAGAAGAAATTCTTCAGAAACGTAAGTGCACGCTTAAAGGATTTTCAGTGGAAACGAATGGTTTTAGTCAGACGCGAGGAATTTCTCGACAGAATCTGTCTGCAAATTATGCGCTATATTTTAAATTTCAGAAAATATTAATTTACAAATTTCAATTTTCGAAATTGAGATTTAATTCAGTATAGAAATTATTAAGTACAGAGAAGAAAAATTTATTTGATTCAAATAACTGATTGTCTATTATCAAACAATTTTTATTTAATTCGAGTACGTTAATTAATAATATTGAAATATATGTCACGGAACATGAATAAATCACACACAATAAGTGAAATTTGTATAGAAGTATATTAGAAACGCATTGTCACAGGTAGAAGCTTTATTAAATTTTCAATTAGAATTTCAATTAATTTGTGAAAATTAAAATAACGAATACGTCACTCATGCTGTTTTGTTACATTATTTTCCACTCAAATTAAATTTATTTCTTTATTTATTTAGAAGGTAAATTGTTTATTTTATATTCTTTTTTGAGAGATGCAATAGTATATTCAGGTGAGGTTTATGTGACTATTTAAATACGTTGTAAAATTCAAGTTACACAAACAAAGAAACAGAAAATGTTATACTGTCACTAGATTTTAAAAAGAGACTCGAGAAGTCCTTTAGAAAATGGTCTTAAATTACAGATTTATGATTTGAGACGCGAGTTCGACACTCGAAATTCAACTTTAAGATGATGCTGAACATAATATCAAAGTACAAATTCTTTTCAATTTACTGTTCAAAGCTTTCAAATTCGATCAAAAAAAGAAAATAAAAATGAAAAAGATCGAACTGTATAATTCACTAAATTAGAGATTTAAATTTGCGCTTTCTTCTATCTAAATTCGGGTTAGTAAAAAATGTTTATTAATTCGAATTAGTGACCGATTTTTTGCTTAGAGTTAGTAAATTTTACTAATAAATTACTAGAAATCACTATTTATTACTTATTAGTAAAATTTACTAATTCAAAAGCAAAAAGTCAGGCACAAATTCAAATGAGTAAATTTCACTAATAAATCAGTAGAAATCACTATTTATTAGTAAATTTTACTTACTGGAAAGCAAAACATTAAGCCACTACTTCAAATTACTAAACATTTTTGCTAATTCAAATTTAGAGAATAATTTAATTAAAAAGGTGAAGACCGAATTCATTTCAAATCAGGCAGACCAAACATGTTCGGTAGTTTGAAGTTTGAAAGACGGAAATTTCTTTTCTTGAAAAATTGAGGGCAAAAATGTTTAGTGTTGTTACTTTTGAAGAAATTAGGATAATTTATTAATTATTTACATATTTCTATGAAAACGAAGACGTTTTTTAAAGATGAACAATTTTTATTTAAGACATTTTTGAATATTCTTTAAAAAAATTGAAAAAAAATTTTTTCTCTTGTACCAGAATCGAGCACAACTTAAATTCTTATGGAGAATATTCTTCCCTATGAACACAATTTCAAAAATAAAGTTCTTTTGCAAAATGGACGCCATTTTGTTATTTTTTAATATTTTTTAAATTTTCCAACGGATTTGGAAAGACGAACAAAAACCCTTTTAGATGCAAAAAGACAAAATAAATTATCCTAAATACTTCAAAAGTTACAAAACTTTGAACATCTCCTCCCCAATTTTCTAAGAAAAGAAGTTTCTGACTTTCAAACTTCAAACCTTTATAACTGTGAGAAAATTTTTTTTAGCAAAATAAAAAAATACATGTCTAAAATTCTTTATAAAACAATATTTTGAAAGCTAAAATGAGTTTCACTACCGAACATGTTTGGCCTGCCTGATTTGAAATGAATGCGGTCTGAAATTAAAAAATAGAATTGAAAAATAGAATAATAATAAGAATTTTACTTTCGCCACACTTTTCCAACAAGAAAAGTACTCCTTTCAGAGCAAGCGTTAGAGAAAATTCTTTTTTTTCAATATTCTTAAAAATTTTTAAAGTCATACGAAAGAGGGACCGCAAAAAGTGCCCGTTTTTTGTACATCGACAATTATCACAAAACGTAAGTAAAAAATTTCGACCAAAAATCTTCTTAATCTGCGTGAAAATGGTAGTTGATCATAATTTTTGGTTTTTATTTAAGGGTAGCCAAACTCCTAATTCAACTCTCTAAAAATTTACAAATTATGAAATTCATACCACCATAAATTCAACAAAAATAATTAATTATTATCAACGGTAAAACTGATAAATAACGAAAATAAAAAATCCCTTTCATAAAAAAACAATCTCAATTATCTTAACATCCTCAAAATGCTTCTTAACCCCCAAAAAACTACCCCTATTTGAAAAATAGACCCAAATAAACACAAAAAAATTATTACTCTCCAAAATCTTCATCAAAAATATAAATAAAATCAATTAACTAGTGAGACTTAATTTCCTTGCTAATGTAAATTAATCCACCCCTCAAAAACTACCCCTAATTAAAAAAATTACCACATTACACATTAAAAAAATTATTACTCCGCAAAATCTTCACGAAAATTATAAATAAAATTAACTAACTAGCCAGACTTTAATTCCATGCTAGAGTTAAACAATCAACCCCAAAAAACTACCCCTTATTTAAAATTTTATTATATTCCACATTTAAAAAATTATTACTCCGCAAAATCTTGACGAAAATTATAAATAAAATCAACTGACTAGCCAGACCTGATTTACTTGCTAAAGTAGATTAATCAACCCCTTAAAAAGTACCCCTAATTAAAAAATTTACCATATTACACATTTAAAACATTTCTTCTACACAAAATCTTCACGAAAATTATAAATAAAATCAACTAACTAGTCAGACTTTAATTCCATGGTAGAATTAATCAATCAACCCCCAAAAAGTACCCCTAAATGAATATTTAACCATATTACACATTTAAAAAATTATTACTTTGAAATATCTTCACTAGTTAGGTGATAAAATTTATAATTTTTGTGAAGAGATTGATGAGTAGTAAATTTTTAAATGTGTAATATGGTAAAATTTCAATTAGGGGTTGTTTTTGGGGGGTTGATTAATCTACTTTAGCAAGTAAATTAAGTCTCGCTAGTTAGTTGATTTAATTTTAATTTTTGTGAAAATTTTGTGTAGGGGAGACTGGGGCGAAAAGTTAAATTTTGCATAAATGATTTTTTTTGGCAATATAAGCTGCTTAGATGCAAATATTTGTATATCAATATTGTAGTTAAAGTATACGTAAACAAGTAATTTAGTAAATAAAAGATCTTTGTTTATTTGACAAAAGCTTCACTGAGAAAACTGGAGTGTCAAATTCGGAGGTTCAAAAAGTGTGTGTTTCCTTTGCTTATGAAGAGAGTTAAATAGTCCTTCTAAAATAAATTTTGAATTGGTAATGGAAATCTACTTGTATATTCTCTCCCATTATATCTGAGGGTTAAAAGTTGCGCAGAAAATGTGTACGATCTGATGCGCGCGAAATTATTTTTCTGACATTTTATGTATTTAATTTAGGGGTTAGGTTGCCATATTTATTCATTTCGCGCCGGATAAGGAAGGGATTTCTCAAAATCTGACTAAAGATATTTAGCAAATACCTTCATGTATCTCTTCAGGGGACCCAAATAAGGATCTAAAAAAATCGAGATGAGAATAAATTCAAAAAATATACTTAAAAGTTGATATTTTCTTTTTCGAAAAAATTTTCAAAAGTAGGTTGAAAAAAAACTTTCAATATCGACACCACAAAAATAAACAGAATTGCACACAACTCCGGACATTTATTTAGGGTGATAGCACCCTTCTATAATTAAAATTGCAATGCTCTAACTATTTTCGTTCAAAAGATAATGAATTTTAACGGTTTTGGCAGTTTAACTTTTCGCCCCAGTCTCCCCTAGTAATAATTTTTTAAATGTGTAATATAGTAAATTTTTTAATTAGGTGTAGTTTTTGAGAGGTTGATTAATCTACTTTAGCAAGTAATTTAAGTCTGGCGAGTTAGTTGATTTTATTTATAACTTTCGTGAAAATTTTGCGGAGTAAAAATTTTTTAAATGTGTAATATGGTAAATTTTTTAATTAGGGGTAGTTTTTGAGGGGTTGATTAATTTACTTTAGCAAGGAAATTAATTCTCACTAGTTAATGGATTTTATTTATATTTTTGATGAAGATTTTGGAGAGTAATAATTTTTTTGTGTTTATTTTGGTCAGTTTTTCAAATAGGGGTAGTTTTTTTGGGGTTGAAAAGCATTTTGAGGATGTTAAGGTAATTAAGATTGTTTTTTATGAAAGGGATTTTTTATTTTCGTTATTTATCAGTTTTACCGTTGATAATTAATTATTTTTGTTGTATTTATGGTGGTATGAATTTCACACTGAGAAAACTGGAGTATTGGACTAAACATCTGGAGGGACAAATCGTTCATGTTTGAGAGTTAGCTATGGATAACAATCTAAATGTTCAAATACACCATTGACAGATATTCGTGCCATTTCTCTTGGAGGGAAAATGAGTTTATAACAGAGGGACAAATTAACCATCTTGAGAAATCCCTTCCTTATCCGGCGCGAAAT